TTTTTTTTTTTTTTTTTTTTTTTTTTTTTTTTTAATTTGAGACAGAATTTCACTTAAATTGGTAAGTGCCCAGGCTGAGCTGCAACCTGTGACCCTCCTGCATCAGCCTCCCAGAGTACTTTCAGATGTGTACCTCCACACCAGGTTTCACTTGGTCTTTTTTGTCCAAGCTACAAGGGGTTAGATAGGTTCTTTCAACTCCCAAGTTTCCTGGGTGGTCTCTGAGGCTCTGTTGTCTCCATCTTCTCCAACCCTGCCTTGCTGATGAGCATTTGCTGTGTGTTTCAAAGCCTGTTCCCCTGCACCTGGAACCGGTGAGGGAAACCTCTGCTCCATCTTCTCACCCGCCTTTGTGCAATGGGAGGCTATGACTTTTTTCCTGGAAAGTGTGATCAACCAGATGTTTCGGACACTAGAGAAAGAAGTAAGTAACTGTTTCATGTGCTGCCTGCATAATGGTGATCTCAGAGAAGAGGGATAGGAAAGTGGGTGTGCATCTTAACAAAGAAAGCACTGAGATTAGAGAAATTGAATAAGCTACTCATGTTCAAACTACTAGCAAATGGCAGAGATCAAAACTCAAATCTTTCTGATGCTGAGCCCTACATTTAACACCAGGAGCCATGAAGAGGGTCATTGCTGCAGGGAGGACAGTGAAGGAACCTTTGAATTGACTGACTCTGAGAGCCAGTTTTGTCATAATGTGTCTTTTCCCAGTTCCCAGTAGGCAGACCAGATTTTTCACATTGGCAGGTCATGCCCTCTTCCTTGAGGAATGAGTCACCTGTAGCTGTTGCTATAGTTGACTGGATAACAGCATACACCCTATTAACCAAAATAGTTAGTGCCCAGCTAGTTTTGGAGTAATTGCATCTTGGTTTATTCTGGGTTGTGAAAAGGATCTCTTGTGCAAGTTGAGCCTTAGACAAATTTGTTTGCATTTATCTAATAGACTCGGAATGACACATAATATCAAGAAAGCCTGTTATCAAAACCAGGGAAATGGCCTTCTCTTTCCATTCCTGGTGTTTAAGTTAGACGTGTTCCGTGGATATTCACAGTGGATGTGACCTTGCTTAAAAGTAAGAGAATGGAACGATTGGGGTTTGCCCCGAATTTGCCTGTAAGGATACCCAAGACTGCTAGTATATGAGGGAGGAAGATGCCTGGTTAGTTATAAGTTGGATTTTACAGTAAGCCTTTTCTTCTCTGTGTTGCTGTGATTGAACCTAGGGTCTATTCATGTTAGGCAAATGCTCTCCCACTCACCTGCATCCCAAACACACAATAAAAATCTACTATGAATGATATTTGGTCAAAATACCAAGTGCTGGTTGGGTCAAAAAAGTACTCCCAGAAGTTTGGACTGTATGTAGGAGAGTTTTGCATGGTAGTACTCGTAAGCAACTCGAAGTAAATTTCTCTCTCTCCTTTAAGGTAAATCTCTTCACTCTAAAATCTCTTCCTTTTTTCTCCACCAAAATTGGTCACAATGAAGCATTTATAATAAAGATGAACATTTATAATGAATTTGTTGATGAAGCTGCATAATGTTGCATGTCCCTAGGGAGTATACGTGACAGATCTCAGCCTTTCAGACTGCTCATTCTCTCCCCTCAATACCCTACTCCACTGTAAATCAGCAGCTCAAATTTTCTCTGTTTATTTGCTCTTCAGTGAAAGATCTGATCCAGTATCTTTGGCCAAAAAGGTTGAAAAGGTGCTCATCTAGTTCATAGTGGCATTATCTGGCATTCGTTTGTTTTGTTTGTTTGTTTGTTTGTTTGTTTGTTTTTGAGATAGGGTCTTGCTGTGCAGCCCAGGTTGGCCTCAAACTCTTGGTCATCCTCCTGCCTCAGCCTCCCTGAGCATGCATTTCTAATAACTTCTGACAGCACTACATAGAGCCTTGCTTTAGCAGTAAATCAATGTAGGAAATGACTATGGAGGGAAAAAAATGCCACATTTTGAAGATGAGGATCAGTTTGTCTGCCCGGATAGTAAAAAGCCTCAAATAATTTACCATCTCCCCTTAAACCTCCCCAGCCCCAATATATCAGAACAGCATGGTACTGGCGTTAGATACAGCTTGTTGAGAGAAAATAATACAGAACTGCACGTAGGCAGCTCAAAGAATCAAGAAAGATTGGATTATTTAATAAATAACTGGGCAAAAAGAAGGAAAGGGAAAAAAGTAATCACTAAAAAATTAATGGCTTAATTACATATGCCTTTAAATTCATAAAAATTTTAAAAGGTGAGCAACATTTGCAATAAATATGAATGAGTGATACCTTCAGTATAAAAAGCATGTATTTCCAAATATGGCCTATCGAGTATAATTGACCCCACAACTTTGACAAAGCATTTGGTGGTATCTAATTTAAGGTACATAGGCCAATTTCACTCTTCAGTCTGTGCTGTAAAGAAGCCTGGTATGTGTACAGAGACTGCAGTATTCATAGAAGGCCTTAGTACTAAACCAAGGGGAGAAAAACCAACAGCAATTAGCAGGCAAACCGGTTGGTAGATTGTAATTGATGAGTGATAGAGCAGTGCAAATGAACAAAGGCTCCACTGGGAATGAGACTCTCTGAAACATGATGCGGATCCAAAACAGCTAACTACAAAGCCGAATGCACGATACTGTCTAATTAGTAATGTGCACGTGTGTGTGGCAAAAAGCACAGCGGAGGGCTGGGGATGTAGCTTAGTGGCACCGCACCTGCCTGGCAAGTGCAAGGTCCTAAATTCAATCCCTGGTATCCAAAAAAAATACAGTGGAATTGTAAACTCCATGACATTGTGAACACAGCCACCAGGAGAGAGGTCACTTCCAGAGATGAAAAGAAAGCTCTACACAGAGAGCATCAATTCTCCCTCCCTCATTCCTGTAACATCATAGTCCTGAAAGCAGGCACACGGGGTTAACCAGCGTCCTGCTGAAACCTTTTTATATGTCTAGAGTTTTCACAATAAAATTACTCTGTGCATTGGTAAAATAAACACTAGAACCCAATGGAGAAATACACAAAAGATAGATAATGCATGGAAGAGAAGCTAATGGTAGCTAGCATATAAAAAACTATTCAAACTTTAATTTTCCTAATAAGTCAGGGTTTTAGGGAATGAGGGAAGGGCACATTGCATAAAGAATCTATTGATAAAGCCTGCAAAGAAGAAAAGCAACTTGACATTGAAATAGTTATACCTTTTGACCCATTAATTCCATCTAAACCCAGAAGCCTTAATAAGTGAAGATATAATGTTTTTCTCAATGATGTGTATTGACATTATTTACAATAGTGGAGAACTGGAAACATTCTCAATCTGTAGTTATAGGAAGCAGTACCTCCCTAATATGGCACAGTCTGGCATCATTCATGAGAACTTTTAGTAACACAGGTTTAAGGTTGTGGTTTAATGTTAAAGTTTAAAAAGCAATATATAAAATCATATATGGTAACCACACGGAGTGGTGGCTGCCGTGTCAGCTTCCTTTCCATGTCTGTTTTGTAGGAAATCCCTGTCAACGACGGCATAGAGCTATTGCAGATGGTCCTGAACTTTGACACCAAGGACCCACTCATCTTGTCCTGTGTCCTCACTAACATCTCGGCGCTCTTCTCTTTTGTTACCTACAGGCCAGAGTTCCTGCCCCAGGTCTTCTCTAAGGTAAAGCCCACCTCCTCGACACTCACAAGCTAATTGTTTTTGATAACTTTCAGAAAGTAGGTGAGGCAAGCTAATAAATAGTCATACATGTCTTCATTTGTCGTGTTTCCCAGTACTCACGGTGGCTCCAGGCCCATGCTAGAGCATTACCCTCCTGGAGCACTGTGGGAAAAGAGACACATAAACATTAGCTATACTGGTGTGGCCTTGCAGTTAATAAACTTGCATAATAGGAAGAGGAAAAGAGGAGCCACAGGTGGGAATCCCATGTGCTGTTGGGGAGGGATCAGGAGAGGAAGAGTGTGGACAAGTCTCAGGTTTCCCATTTCAGAGTAGGTGGACAGCAGCCTCTGCCTGAGTGCGAATTCTGGATCCAGAGGGAGAGAGCCAGAGGAAGAAGAGGAGGTGTTTAGAGTAGTGTGCTTGAAGTATGCATAAAACACCTAGGTGGAGAAAATTCCCAATAAATTAGTTATTTGAGTTTGACAGTCTAGACCAGCGACAGCAAACCTTTAGAGCTTTCAATAATAACAGACATTGCTGCGGCGAGTCCCATCAGTGTACCAACACTGGTCTAGACTCTAGAAAATGATGAGATACAATTTAGGCATTGTCCTTATTTTCAAAATTGATATGCAGATGTAATGCAATCCCAATCAGAATGCCAATAGTATTCTTCATAGAACTGGAGAAAGCAATCCTAAAATTCATATGGAACCAGAAGAGGCAGAATAGCAAATGAAACCCCAAGTAACAGGAGCAAAATGGGAGGCATCACAATCCTGGACTTGAAGTTATATTACAGAGGTACAGTGCTGAAAAAAGAGCATGGTACTAGCAGAAAAATAGACCTGAGGGTGAGTGGGATAGAACAGAGGATGCAGAAACAACACCAGGCACATATAAAAGGTAATAGAAAGTAGGGAGATAAATTTTTCCCAAATTGGTAAGGAATCAAAAGATGGAGGGAGGGGGAAGGAGAGAAGAGATAGGGATGAAAAAGGAATTAAGATGTGTTCTATACATGCACCAGCTCCACACAAGGAATGAAAGCAACCCTGTAAGCATGTATTAATAGAACAATAATTCTTTTCTCATTAATGCATTGTCATCATAGAAGTTTCAGGACTAGAAGTGAAGTCTAAGAGGATATATGTGTAGAGTTAGGGTCATGTATGTCAGCAGGGAACCTGAGGGATCATCACTGGAGGAAGAGTGGGAAAGATGACAAGCCCCCAAAGAAGCGAAAAGATAGGAAGAAAAAGTGTTCTGTCCCAGGCCAGCAGAACTTTGAAAGAGTGGACTTATGTTTTGCAATAGGGATCTGTAAGAGTTAGGAATGTTCCATGGTTGGCATTATTATTCTCTTACCTGAGTGCATTTCGGCGCAGCAGCCGCACTGCCTCCAGTAAGGGGGGGAAGGGAAGTTATACAATGAAAACAGTGGAGGGGAGCGTTGTCATAGTTGGGTTGTCTGAATGGTGGCATGGATTATTCTGGGACTGCACGACATTTTACTCTGTAAATGGTTTGCGTGGTAAAATTGCCAGTCTCAAGACTCTTGTAGAAATAGCTCAGAAACTGAACGTCTGAAAGCTTATGACACTAGTAGGAAGCTTTTGTTACCCGAACACAGGATTTTGTTGGAAATTTCTTAGTAACTGTTGTTTAAAAATGAATGAGTAACCTTTTCTCTTTCTCTCTCTGTTTCTCCCCTTAGCTGTTTTCATCTGTCACTTTTGAAAGTATTGATGAAAATAAGGTAAAAAAATAAACATAAATTAAAGCAGCACATTCTAAATTCTGAGAAGCAGAAGTGTAGATGCCTAATACTTAGTCTAGATTTGTATGTAGTGGGATGGGTTAGGAGATGCAGTAGGTTGTCCCACGGTGTTTTGACCTAGAGTCTAGGACAAACATCAGTGTGTGGACTCAAGGTGACCATAAACATCACATCATTATAATCTACCAGTTGTGAAAGTCATCATGAATTTGCCTGTGACTGGGATATTGATACCATCAGGAAGTGATCTCCCAAGTGACCCCAGGGTTGCACAATGTCTCTTCTAGGCCCCCCGCACCCGCGCGGTGAGGAACGTGAGGAGACACGCATGCTCGTCCATCATCAAGATGTGTCGCGACTACCCTGAGCTTGTGCTGGTAAGCACCGACCCTGTTGCATTGCCACGAAGCCTGCTTGGCTCGGTTATACTTCTCTGTAAAGGTAGTTCTCAGAGCACCTCCCAGATCTCAGCTGTGTAGAATGAGCCCTCTTGAGTTGGTGTGTTCTTCCTCTGCTCAGTGAGCAGTCAGAATGCATGTGTTCCTTTGAGAAGCACGTGTCTTGTCCACATGGTTCACTGAGTTTCCCGTTACACGTTTATGACAGCTTTTTGCCTTGGGATGTCTGTAATTACTATTGCCAAATGACATGCCAAACTGTGAGAAGCCAGATGAAAATTCCAACCCTTGTGGGGGGTCCCATAGGAAATCTAACATTACTTCAGATAACAGATTCATCGGAAATCTCTTTTCTGAGACAACAGAAGTTGTGTCCCTATGTAGGTAACAAATTGATGGCTGCCCATTAAGATAGCTACAAAACCGATGTAGAAAACAGAAATTGTTTCCCACTTGTGCTGTAGGAAAGCCCAGTAACCCAGATACTCAGGCAGGAAGAGCATTAGGACCCAATGACTGAATGACAGCCTCATTGCCTCACCCTCCTGGGGCTGCCTTGCTTTTCTTCCCTTCTCCGCTTTGCTACCCATGTCTCCCCGAAAATTGGGACCTCACCATCGCTAGTTTCTCTCTGCTCCACAGCCCAGTTTCGACACGCTGTACAACCATGTGAAGCAGCTCTTCTCCAATGAGCTGCTGCTCACACAGATGGAGAAATGCGCCCTCATGGAGGCCCTGGTGCTCATCAGCAACCACTTCAAGAACTACGAGCGTCAGAAGCTGTTCCTGGAGGAACTGATGGCGCCAGTGGCCAGCATGTGGCTTTCTGAAGATATGCACAGGTGAAGGTTCCTCTCTGCTGAGTATTTTTTTCCCTGTTCAGAGATGAGTCAGAGTGTGGCCAGGGCGCTGTGAGGGCTATCTGAAGCCCTCTACGAGTGGCCTTTTGTAATCCAGTCTCTGAAAATGCCACCTTGCTTACAGAGGTGTATTGGAGGCAGAGATGGGTACGAGTGCAGTTGGGGGACACAGAGCATGACTGGTGGAGCCTGCATTGCTCCAGCAAGGGCTGGGCAAAGCAGGAGCTGCTGTGTAGGACAGAAATGGTTTTCTTCTTTACCTCCCCAAGTTTGTCTACTGTATAAATCAGGCTGGGCATGTCTGTAATCTCAGCACTTTGGGAGACTGAGGCAGGAGGATTGCAAGTTTAAGCCCAACCTGGGCAGTTCAGTGTCTCAAAATTTAAAAGGGGTGATGGCAAGGCTGTGGATATAGCTCAGTGCAGAGGCTGTGGGTTCAATCCCCAGTACAAAAAAAAAAAAAAAAATTCTTGAAGTGTTGCCAAGAGCATTTGGGAGTAGGAAGTTTAAGCCTTCAAATGGTAGGTCTTAATCAATAGGATAAACTCTCACTGTAAAAACTGCACTTTGGGGCAAAACAATCAGCTTCTTAACTCTCATGGAAGAAGTTGTCTTTATTTCAAGTCAGGACATAACCGCTCTTTTTCCACCTCCATGCAGAGTGCTGTCAGATGTTGATGCTTTCCTTGCCTATGTTGGTGCAGATGTGAAAAGCTGTGACCCCGCTGTGGAGGACCCCTGCGGTTTCAACCGCGCTCGAGTAAGACTTGTGTGGGCCATTGTGTGGGCCACAGGCAGGAATAGGATGTCCACCATTTGGCCAGATCCCCCTAGATTTGTTCTGTCTGCACTGGTGAGAAGCCCAGGAGTCTCCACTTCCCTGAGCTTCTCCTTTCTTTTCTTTAAGTGCTGACTTCATACCAGAGCCTGTACTCCTATGGAGTCCCTCTTTTGGCCTTAAAGATCTCTAAGTAGCTCTGAAGGTGTAAGGAGGAAGTAGGTTGGAATTGCTCAGTAGCCGAGTCCTCCCTGTGGTCACTCGTGCTGTGGAAATTCCTGACTGGTGGCCAGGCCTGAGACCTGAGGCATCGTAGTACTTTGATCTTTGAACAGGCATTGTTCTTTGCTCCATCATGGCCCAGTCGCATTAGTTAACCTGCAGAGGCTGTGAGAAGGGTGAGGGTGGAAGCTGCCAAACTCCAGTCTGCAGGCAGGGAACAGGGTCAACTTAGAAACGGGGAACTATGGCAGCTTGAGCACTTTGTGTTGGCCTGTGTCGCAGCCCTGCCAGTGAGGTCACCTAACCCTGGAAAGACAGCACAGTCTTCGCAACCGCAGGGAAGCTCCAGGGCCCAGGGTCTTGGAAGATGGCAGTGAAGGGACTCTCTTGGACTTGACCTTAGAGGAAGGGGCAAGGATCTCGAGTGCCGGGGTTTCTTTCCTTCTCTCTGGCCTCTGTCACTTTGGCCACAGTGGCGAATGTATCTAACAGTGTTTTGTATTTTCTTCTATGTTTATCTTCTCTCTTGCTTTCCTGTAGATAAGCTTTTGTGTATACAGCATCCTGGGTGTCGTGAAGCGAACTTGCTGGCCCAGTGACCTAGAGGAGGCCAAAGCGGGGGGCTTCGTGGTTGGCTATACACCCAGTGGGAACCCCATCTTCCGCAACCCTTGCACAGAACAGGTTCTGAAGCTGCTGGACAACTTGCTTGCCCTTATAAGGTCAGTCAGAATAGTAGTTTTTATTTTTTATAGTAAGACTTTCAAACGTTTAATGTGATTGTGACTTCTCATGACAGCTGTAATGAGGGAGCAGGTCTTGATTCTTTTTAAAAATTACAACTCACACTTGGAAAAGACTTACATTCCATGGAAACCTAGGGGGACCTGGCGGGGGCCGGTCCCAAAGAGCTTTTTCATTCTTAATCTCCTATGTGTGCCTCTCCCACTTGTTTGTACTTCATCCCTTTTACTTTTTCAGTTTTATTTAGTCTGAATTTTTGCCAGTAAATGAATTGTTCATTGGGAGCAAGACATTTGCTTGCTTGTTTTTTTGTTTTTGTTTTGAGACAGGGTCTCGCTATGTAGTCAGGATGTCCTTGAACTCACTGTATAGCTCAAGCTGGTCTCAAACTTGCAGTGATCCTCCTGCCTCAGCTTCCCACATGCTGGGATTATAGTCATATTTCTCTGGATGCTGTTCTGAAGCTGATCTGAGCCTCACAGTGATTTCTGAACTCTCATGGACCAGACTTGTCACAGGAAAGTGTGACACATTTTAAACCTCACTGTGCCCATCTCAGAGTGGAGTCAAGACCAGCAGCCTCTGGTGTCACCTAAGCCCGTGTGTGAAGGTAGAATGTGGGCCAGGGGGCCCATATACAAATCAGAATCTGGGTTTAGTAAGATATCCAGATGGTCTGTGTACACATTAAAGCTTCAGAATTACTGTTTTGTTTTGTTTTTTATATGTACAAGTAACTGTACGCCGCCAAGCTGGCTAGTCACTGCATGCATATTTCATGATTCAGGGGTGCTAGCTAAAGGAGAAGATAGGTTTATGATAGAATTTAACTCTGTTGCTGCGAGCAAAATATGCGTGCCTTTTTTTTTTTAATGTTCAGTTATTTTGTAAGTAGTTAATTTAGAGACATACAATAAAACTATAACAAGATAGAGTGTTTTTATGTCTCACAGTATTTCTAATTTAAACACTGGTGCTTTGTTCCTGTTCTTTCTGGCCTCTGACCCAGAGGTCCAGGCAGATTCTCATCTGAGCAGACTACATTGTCACATCACAAGGGAGCCTCCCTGACCAGAAGTCTAGGAACGAAAGATTTTAAGTTAATGGCTGACCAAATTGGAAGGCCACAGCGCCTGGTAGAGTTGGAATAGTAGGTGTGTCACTAGAAATAGACAATATTTTGTTCTGATTTCAAAAGAAGAGGTTTCAGTAAAGGGGTAGCTAGACTTCTGTGTTGACAGTAGCAAAAGTAGCCAAGGAAAGGCTGCTTCCCATGTTGATGATGCCATAGCATAGTCATGGGGAAAGGATGACATCATGTGTCTAGAGAGTCATCTTGCGACTAGAGACTCACTGGCCAAGACTTTTTAGACTTGTGGCAAACATGCACGTGGTGAGAACCAGTCCTGGAAACAGTGTTCATTCCTGATTGGGTGAGCTGTGCACAAGACAACAGTACCCTTATCATCTTGATGGTATTTTTGTAAGAGTTCGGGGCTTTTAGAAAATGCCAAAAAGCTGGGTGTGGTGCTGCACACCTGTAATCTTAGAACTCAGGAAAATGGCCAAGAGTTCGAGGCCAGCCTGGAGGGTTCAAGGCCAGCCTGAACTGCATAGCAAGACACTGTCTCAAAAAAAAAGGAAAAGAAAATAGGATATTCAGTAATAAATTAACTTTTGTTTTTTTGTTTGTTTTTTGGTGTTTTGGTTTTGGTTTTTGTCCCTGGGATCAAACTCAGGACTTTGTACTTGCAAGGCAAGCATGGCACCACTGAGCTAAATCCCTGGCCAGTAAATTAACTTTTCTAAAAATAACATTTTACTTTATGAACTTAATTTTTTTAACTTTTTGAGTCTTTTTACACTTCGCTTAAAATACATTGTACAGCTTTTATAAAAATATTTTATGTCATTCTGTAAGTGGTTTTTTATGTTTTTACTTTTTTTCTGGTTTTTTGAGACAGTCTTACTATTTTGCTCAGGCTGGCCTTGAACTTGTAGTTCTCTTGCTGCAGCCTCTTGCTTGGTTAACTAGAATTATAGGTGTATACCACAGTGCCCAGCTCTCTTACATTTTAAACTTCTTTAAAAAATGCATCTAAGACACAAGCCAGGCCTGGTGGTACCTGCTTGTATTCTCAGCTTGTTAGGAATCTGAGGCGGGGATCCCTTGAGTTTAAGACTGGCCCATACCACATAGCAAAGCCCACTGTCTCATGTTGAGATACACACATACTACCAAGTACAGTAAGCACTTTAATAACATCATTATCACCATTATCAAGCATTATGGTATCACATCCTGAACATGACTGGGCTACACTTTTACATACCTGGAGTGTAATAGAGTTTGTCTACGCCAGCACCAGCTCCAGCGTATAACTACTTTGCAGTGCTGTGTCGCAGCCACTCCATCACTCCACCACTTCTCAGTTCCTTTACTGTCAGTCTTGCAGGGCCACTGTCTGATCGGTGCACTGTTGACCAGCGCCCTTCTGTGGATCATGACTGTACTCAGCTTTGCTGGCGTGTGTCACATCTGTGCACCTGAAGTGCTTTCTGATTACCTTTATGAAGGACTTGTCAGTTACACACCCACTCTGGCTCTTTGCCTTCAGTGGGTAGGAGGGGGCTGTAGCTGTCGGGACCCAGGCTTCATCCTTGCTCCACAAAGTCAGTTACTGCTCATGTTGGTCACGTTGGTGGGGAACAGGTGTGTGTGTTGGGACCATGTTCTTCCCAGAGGCTTGGACCACCATGGCAGGTTCTGTTCTTAGACCAAAGACTGAACCTGAAAACCAGGGCACACCTGCTCTAGAGTCTGCTTTTGAACCCCACACATCCCTGACATTCTGTCCATGACCACAGGTGGTCAGAAAAATCCCTGCAAGCCCCAGAGCGCTAGCTCAGGGTTTAAAAATTGTATTTGGATTGAAGGTTTGGGCTCTGATGTTGTTCTGCTGTCTTGGGATTTGGTCTTCATTTTTGTTGGTCTTCCATGTTAGATACTATTTATCCCTAGTCATAGTTTCCAGTCTACTCCAGGAAGTACCTGGGTGTCTGTACCTTCTCTGTCCCCATGGGAATAGCATTGACTCTCTGTGTGGATGGGGATGTCACTAAATCACTGTCTCTGCTGCCACAGACTGGGAAGTGTAGCATGGTGTCCTCTTTCTTTCAGAACCCACAACACGCTGTATGCACCGGAGATGCAAACCAAGATGGCTGAACCTTATGCCAAGTCTCTGGATATGCTGGAAGCAGAGAAATCTTCTATATTAGGTAAGAAAACTGTTATCCTCCAAGACTACCTTATCTCTGATGGGCTCCTCCAATAGCTTCAGTCTACTTTGAGCCTCTCTCCTTAACCTGACTCTACCTTGACAGAAATGCATTTGTGGAATTACTAGGGTTTGAGGACAACTATGTTTACTTCATTATCTTAGCAGACAGAGGCCTTCACAGGCACTCTCCCCATCCAACTCCTCCTTCAGTTTAGGGTAACCTGTAGGAAGTGGTGGGTGTGAGAGCCATTAGTTCATAAACAAACCGTGGCTTTTAAGAAACAAAAAAATATTCATATACTTTCTTGCCTTTCATATATACACAATCAAAATTTTTAAGGTAATAAAGTCTAAGCCACTCTTCCTACTTGTCACCTTGTTTAGAATAGTACTTTAGCTCATTTTTCCCACTGAGAAAGCATGAAAATAAGTAGACAGTAGTGATGCTGGTACTTGCTATGAAAGAGAGGTGGTAGGGCTCTGTGACAGTGTTTATTGGGAGACCTAACTCAAATCCCCCTTAGGAATACGATTGGAAGAGATTGAGAAATTTGCTCCCTACAGAGTCTTGAAGGGTGAGTGGCAGCTGACGAGGTCAAGAGAGGCTGTGCTGAGTATTCAGGGTGACCAAGTGGCAGGGCCCAGGTCCTGAGGCAAGCAGCAAAGAGCTTGGGGTGGCTGGGAACTTTGGAGCAGAACTCGGGGCTGGAGCATGGGGAGCAGGGCTGAGTAGATGGTTAGCAGTCAGAGCTGGAGGCATCGAAGCTGTCTGCCCTCGTTCCTGACTCTGAACTTCAGGCTGCTCCAGCACAGCCCCTGGTGTCTGTGTGCCCAGCATAGCTTCAGCCCGGCTCTGGCTCTGGATCTGGCTCTGGCTCTGGCCAAGCCACCAGTGAAGTTAGCAAGAGGAAGGGTACTTCCTTGCCTGTCCAGGGCTCAGGTCTGTCTGTCTTTGCACAGGGTGTCTTGAGCACCACTGCCCTTAAAATCTGTATTGCAGGCACCAGTTTAAAAAGAATCCCCAAAATGGGGGCTGGGAATTTGGCTCAGTGGTTCCACCGCCTGCCTCACAAGTTCAAGGGCCTGAGTTTAATCCCCGGTACCAAAAAAAGGGATGGGTTGCTTCACCCACATGCACACACACACCCATGCCATTATTCACGTTAAGCGAAGTACTGCTGTTGTGGGGACATGGGGCCAGCCAGACAAACCAGAATGGACACACAGTGGTTCCTCTGGTAGTTTCAGACTGTGACTTGCAGTGTTCACTACCTCTTAAAAGTGCAGATCTAACTTTAAGGCAGCCGCCACACTGGCGTAAGTAAGTGGATTTTGTCTTAATCTGCTTTGTGTTTTGGACTTTTGCATAAGATTGCTTCAAAAAGTTTCCATGACTTGGTGGGTGCTACAGAGGGATCCTTTTTTGTGCTGTCACTGTACATTCTGGTACAGGTCGCATCTGGGAAAACCCGGGTCCAGTCTGGAATACTGGGTCCTTGTGTAGCGCCCACCTTTGCTTACAAGGGAATGTGGCAGATCACCTTTAGGAAAAACGGTCTTAGTGCCTCCAACAGGTAAAAGACAGTGTCAGCTGCTTTGTGGACATCGTACTGGTACATGTACTATATACCCGAGCCAGTCTGACCCTCGGAGGGCATTGCTCTCAGCAGCTCCTGACCTGGCCTTCTCTGCAGGATTACCTCTTCCTCTATTGGAACTCAATGACTACCCTGTCTACAAAACCGTCTTGGAGAGGATGCAGCGTTTCTTCAGCACCCTCTATGAAAACTGGTGAGCAACCTCGCTGCCTCTCAGCCCTCTCTTCCCAGAACGTGTGTGTCAGCCTGGTAGGAGCTTCTGATCTAGAATTCTAGTGTACATATGAGGTAGGTAAGATTTTGAAGGGAAATGAGTGATACTAGTGCTGAGGCAGAATGGGCAGTCCACTTTCTTGTGCTTGCCTTTTTTGTCATTGTCATGAACCTCACTGCCCTGTGACTTGGTGTTTCATGCAGACTTGGGTGTATTTCTAGTGCATAAAATCAGGACACTGGAATAGAAGAAAGAACAAAGGGCTGTCTTCCTTTGCCCAGCACCACTTCCTGTGGCTGCTTCCCATGAGGTACTAGGAGGCTGCTGGCCAGGACTTGGTCTGTGGGTTCTGGGTGTGGCCTGTGGTGGTGCCCAGCATTCATGCACACCACGCCCTGGGCTTTGGCCTCAGCAAACCCCATGTTCTCGTGAGCCAAACCAATGGGCTGCTTGATCACAAGGCCATGTTCCGTAAGAAAATCCTGGGTTACCAATACCTGGCTTTACATAGAAGATTTGGTTCATGTCTTTAAAACTAAAGTTCTCAGAAATGAATACAATTGCTAAATAATCTTACTGTGAACTAGAAATGAAATCCTGGGGGAATCAGGGCCAGCAACAGCAGGTGTAGGGTTGTCAGTACTGACAATCTGCCCCACAGCTTCCACATCCTGGGGAAGGCTGGCCCCTCCATGCAGCAGGACTTCTACACTGTGGAGGACCTCGCCACCCAGCTCCTCGGCTCGGCCTTTGTCAACCTGAACAACATTCCTGACTACCGGCTCAGACCCATGCTGCATATCCTTTTAGAAATGCAAAGTCTTGATAACCCAAAAATTCAGAAAATTAAGGACAAGAACCAGGGGGAGAAAGGGAAGGGTTTGTGTATCCAGGGGAATCCATCATCCCATGAAAGATAGGAGGATTGTGGGACATGGCAGTAAGAGCATGGATGTGTCCAGGGGTCTTGAGAGCCTTTTTGGCCATTATGAACTTTTCCTTGAGGATAAATTTTTACCTTCCCACCATTTTGTTTTGTTTTTCTGAAGTCTTTTTTGCCCAGGCTGACCTAGGACTCTTAGATTCAAATGGTCCTTCTTTTTAAAATCTGTATTTGTCCATGAGTACAGTATCTAAGGATCACATTCATCTTGTGGGTTTGGTATATGAGCATAACTTGTCTTAGTTCTTTTTACACAACCCCACCAAGTGGTCCTCCTGTCTTAGCCTCCAAAGTAGCTAAAACTACCAGTGCACACCCCTGTACCCCGTTAGGTGTTTCCCTTTAAAAGAAATACTTTTATAACCCTGTATTCTTTCAGCCTGTATTTTACAGTTGTTCTGAGTCCTTTTCCCCCAATGTTACAGGAAGAATAATGACAGAATTGATGACAAGGGTATCCTGTTGGGTGTTTTGTTTTGCTTTGTTTTTTTTCCTCAGTACTGGAGACCGAACTTACAACCTTGAGTTTGGAAGGCAGACGTGGTTCTACTGAGATAAATACCTGGCCCTGTCCTTTTGGTGGGGGGGTTGTTTTGTTTGCTTATTTGTTTTTATACTGGGGATCGAACTCAGGTCCTTGAGCTTGCAAGGCAGGCGGTGGGACCACTGAGCTAAATCCCTGGGCCGCAGTTTTGTTTTTTTGAGACCTGGTTTCTGTAATTCAAGTTGGCCTTGAATTCGTTAGCAGGCTGACCTCAAACTCATGGCAGACATCCTGCCTCTGCCTCCCAAATACTGGGATTGCAGGAGTGGGCCACCACACCCAGCTTAAGGGTGTTTTTCTCTGTTTTTTTGTTTTTGTTTTTTTTTTTTCTTCCTACTTTTAGGCAACCCAGAGCCCATAATGTGCAGTCTGGTAGAAAGGTTGGCTCCTTTCAGAGGCACTTTGAGCTGCCTGGCAGGGGAGGGGCCCATGCTCACACACTAAGCTTCTTAACCTGTTGCTGCACGAGTCTTTGTGAAGCCCCTGGTGCTCTTCTGTCCTCCAGAGCACTACGAAGCCCTGGTGTCGCCTATCCTTGGACCTCTGTTCACCTACCTCCACATGGTAAGAGGGGGTCAGGAAAGGAGAGCAGAGTGCTCAGCGCACAGGCTGCTCCCATGTGATCTACCAGCCTGATGGCCCATGAGGCACCACTGAGTACAGCCCAGACTTCAGGTCCTGTTAACAGAGGAGGCACATTCAGAGAAATGCTTCCCTGCCAGGATCTGTGTCCCTCATTCAAATTAAGCAAGGCCTGGCTGGGCAGAGCAGGAATTATAAAAGTGCCAACCCTTTCTGAGCAGAAAAATGTTTGCTCTGCTGCGCTCTTCATGGGCAGGAACAAGGTTATAGAAACTGTATCTGGCTGTTTTTGTTTATTTTCGGGGCTGGTGATCAAATCCATGGCCTCATTCCTTCTAGACAAATGCTCCACCACTGAGCTATATCTCCTTTTTATTTTGATATAGGGTTTCACTGAGTTGTCCACCTGGCCTCAAACTTGTGTGATCCTCCTGCCTCAGCCTTCCAAGGAGTTGTGATTACAGATGTGCACAACCACACCTACCCCTTGTCTGTTTTTTAACTTTGCTAGGGTCCACTAGGAGGCTCTGTCATTGATTCCTGAATCATTGTTGGCTAGTTTTTGTCATGAAGCAAACCTTAGATAGTTTGTGCTCTGGTCCTCTCCCAGTCCTAGCACCTACTTCTTTGTGTTTTCTCAGAGGCTTTCCCAGAAGTGGCAAGTGATTAATCAGAGGAGCCTGCTGTGGTAAGGAAGCCCACTCTCAGGTTTGGGTGGGGAAAGGATAAGGGGCAGGAAGGAACTCTGCCGCTGTAAGGCTAGAGTAGCAGCGAGCTGCTCATTCTCAGACAAGGTGGCGGGTGATGTTGGACAGCGTGGGCTGGCTCTGAGCTCTTGCCTCTATGGGGGCTGCTGCCACCTTACCCCTGGCAGTCACGGGTCAGAGGGGCACTCAGCCCCTGCTGTCCTCTCCCTCATCTGCATAGAATGTAGAGCCGAAGGAAGCAGAAGAAAGAGGGCACAGAAGGGCTGGAGGGGGGTACTGCTTTGCATGTCCTCCCTCTCTGCCCCATCATGGAATCTGGCTCCCTGGTTTTCAGCGGTGGAGAAGATGAGGCTGTGGAGGAAAACCCTGAGTCTCAGGAGATGCTGGAGGAGCAGCTGGTGAGGCTGTTGACCCGAGAAGTCATGGACCTTATCAGTAAGTCGCATGCAAAAGCTGGCATGGAGGGGTTTCCTAGCAATACTGTTCCTGCCATGTATCCACGAGGGGCAGGGTGGAAACACTGGGTTCAAGCCCTGGTACCAAAACAGGGAAAGAAAAAGATGAAAATAAAAAGAAACAACTAGCTAGTCCTAGATCAATCTAAGGACATTTTCTGGACTGTACCCACAGCAGGATACGAGGACATCATCTCAATAGGAGAAATTTGTATTATGTTAGAGATAACTTTCGCCTTGTTAAAATAGGGACAATTTTAAATTCTTGATCATGGAGGTTCCTTTGTTTTGGGGAATTTTGAATGAAACAGTGCTTGGTTATTTCATTGACTGGCGATGCAGAGTAGGCAAGAGTCTGTCGGTCACTTCCAGTCAGGATTCTGTCACTTCCCCTAGCTAACAACACGAGGAGGGACCAGAGTACAGCCTGGCCAGGCCTCAGATCCCTCTCTTATGGGTGAAGCTGCTCTTTGTCCCTAACAGTTCCCCATCCCTCCCCTCTGCAGCTGGCCAGAGAGGGTGTGGGATCATTGCCTGAGGTGGTGTTAGGCGGTGGTGAGATTAACACCCCCCCTCACCCAGTAACCCTGTTTTCTTGCCACAGCGGTTTGCTGTGTGGCAAAGAAGAGTACAGACCACAGTGCTGCTCCGCCAGCGGATGGAGAAGGTGAGTGAGCCTGTCGCCTGGCCCAGAGGTCAGTCTTTCTGGACCAGCTCCACTCCTGGCAAGGATGAGAGGTGACACTCTAGCTATTGTCATGCCAGCCTTCTTGCTGTACTTCCTCTAGCATTCTCCTGCTGCAGGGCCTTTGTACCTGCTGTTTCCTGTATCTAAAGCGATTTGCTTCCAGCTCTCTGCAGTGCCTGTTCTCTCACTTCAGTCAGATCTGTGCTGCAGTGTTGCCTCCTCCAAGTCTTCCATGACAGCTGATCAAAGATAACAAATTCTGTAGACTTCCTCTGCCTTATTTTGCTTCATGGTATTTCTTACTTTTATGATCTTATTTATGGATTCATTCATTCATTCATTGGGTGTTTCCTTGATAGAATCCAAACTCCTATCTGGGCAGGGGCTCTGTCCTTTTTCTTTTATGTTCTCAATGATTAAATTAGCTCTTCTCATAGTGGCACCTATACCTCTGTCCCGCATCAAAAGGTCTTCAGTGTCTGCAGCTTACCCTGCTACCCAGCTTCCCGTTTCACACATGCACAGTGCAGTAAAACTCCCAAGAGCTCCGCCCTGGGCCTGGGCTTCTGCTACCTTTCCAGGGGCCAGGTGTGTGTGTGCTGCTATCCCACTACTGCTCAGCACCACCTGCCCAGGATGGACCCACACCAGGCTTTACCTCATTTATGAAGGGATAGGTCTTGACATTCCGCTCTGCCTACAGATGAAGAGATGATGGCCACAGAGGTGACCCCATCTGCGGTGGCAGAGCTTACAGACCTGGGCAAATGTCTGATGAAACACGAGGTGGGTAGATGGTAGGGGAAGTAAAATTCCCTTCAGTAGCCCCTTGTTATTTTCCCCCTTACCTATTAAAATTCCAGCTCCCAGTGTGTAACAGAAAAGTGTGAATATTTTCCACTGTAATCTTCCTTCCTTCCCTGTCCAGGACGTCTGCACAGCACTGTTAATTACAGCCTTCAATTCCCTGGCCTGGAAGGACACTCTGTCCTGCCAGAGGACAACCACACAGCTCTGCTGGCCTCTCCTCAAACAAGTATGCTCATCCCCCTTCTCTGGACCCTCACAGGAGGTTTGGGTGGTGTGCATTGAATCAGCTGGGAGAATCAAGGTGCTCGGGCCCTCCTGAGCCATGGATCTGAGCACAGCTTTGTCCCCAGGTTCTGTCTGGGACACTGCTCGCTGACGCCGTCACGTGGCTCTTTACCAGCGTGCTGAAAGGGTTACAGACACATGGGCAGCATGACGGCTGCATGGCCTCACTGGTCCACCTGGCCTTCCAGATCTATGAGGCGCTGGTGAGTGGAAATTGGGGTGGGGGGGACTGTGGCTTCTTGGCTCAGCTTCCCAGGTCCTGTCCTATCCCAAGTGCAGGTCACTAGCATTGCGTGTGGTGGGTATGACGGAGTGGGTGAGGTGGGGGGGTCTGAACCCACATGGAGTGGGTTTATCCACACTTCTCAGCGCCCCAGGTATCTGGAGATCAGAGCTGTGATGGAGCAAATCCCAGAAATACAGAAGGACTCGCTGGACCAGTTTGACTGCAAGCTGCTGAACCCCTCCCTACAGAAAGTGGCCGACAAGCGGCGAAAGGACCAATTCAAGCGCCTCATCGCAGGCTGCATCGGGGTAGGTGCTGCTCCTCACTTGTGCTCCGGCCCCACCATCTGGCTTGTGATCTTAGACTACAAGCCAGCTGTGATCACCAACCATCCTGGGTGGTCTCTGACCCACTGCCAGGGCCAACCATTGATTCTTTTTCATTTTATTTCTACAGAAACCCTTGGGGGAACAGTTCCGAAAAGAAGTGCATATTAAGAATCTTCCCTCACTTTTCAAGAAAACAAAGCCAATGTTGGAGACAGAGGTGCTGGACAACGAGGGGGGCAGCCTGGCCACCATCTTTGAACCCTGAATCAAGCTTTTGGGCATCCTTCCTCGGCCTTTGTCGTCATCTCTTCTTCCCTTTTGTAGCTAATCTCTAGGGCCCTCTTGCACTGCCACTTCACTGTCCACCATTGTCAGCTGGAGCCAGAGCTAGGTCTGGAGTGGAAGAAGAGTGGGCCCTGTGCAGGGCCAGCACCCTCCTAAGGCGCTAGAGGAGAGGGAGTCAGGGCGGACACATTGATTTGTTGTGATCTCCTGATTAGTTCCATTCTGCTGGGAGTTTGGGCCTCTCTGAGAAAAGCCAGAGCAGAGCAGTCCTCCCAAGGCCTGTCCACCCCTATCTAGCCACGCATCTGTGCGTTATGGGAACTGGGGGTGTTGTGCCCAGTACTGGGACCCGCTGGTCTTGAAAGGGATGAGCCTTTGACCACTTGGGCCAGTTTCTCCTGGACCACTGTGAGTCCCTCAGTCCCAGCTCCTCCTGGGCTGGCAGGGACTCTTCTCCACCTCCATGGCTTGTCTGGCCTAAGTGCTCAACTAAATTTGGCCAATTCTCTCGTCCACGTTTTGAGCAGGAACTTGGTCACTTGATGGGATCCATGATACAGGCTAACTGCTAGTCTGGGCATGGATAAGACCTGCAGGGACCAGGGCTAGGGAGTGTTTAGTGCTAATGACCCCTAGAGCTCACACACCTTGCCCTTCCATGAATGACTCCTGGGTTTCCCCAGCCTATGGTCTCCTCAGGCATGACAGCCACAGATAATACCATTGTCACCCAAGGATAATTCAGATCAAGGCTTACGTTTGTGATAAGCAGCTAGCACAGCTACTGGTCTTGTAGGACCATCTGAGTCCAGGTGCCTTTAAAATTCTCATGGCCTTTCAGGTCCCTGGTCACTTGTCTCAAGGGCCAATCCCAAAAGAAAAGAAAATCTGCCTTCCCATCACAAACTGTCCTGAGTCCACGCTAGAGGTCACTGGAAGGCCCCTGAGCAGAGGGGACACAGAGGTGGGACCTAGTCCTGGGATGACCATGTTCCCTACAGACAGGTCTGCGTCCACTCGCTGGTGGGCTCATTGAGAGGCATCAGCCATGACATGGTATGGGTGGGCAGAGACAACATGGGAAAACGGGATCGTGTCAGTTTGCCAGCTCTACTGCACATGTCTGCCCCTTTCTGTGTGGTGCTTGAGGATTCTGTTGATTGTGAAGGCGATCTCAGAGTATTTCCCTCCATACTTAATAGCTGTCTACTCCTCTGTCTGACTGGGGCTGTGGAGGATGTAGTATTTATTGTGTTGTACTATTTTTAACATCCTGTGACCTCATGCTAGAAATTTTCTATTGTTTATAGAACCTTTTTGTAGCAATGTTAACCCTAAAGCACATCTGCATGTCAGTAAAAATCTGTTTTGTACAGAAAGGACCCTACCCACCTTTTTCAAACAAGTCCTGAAAATAGTCCTGCAGTCCCATTGCTTGCTGTGGATGGCATCCTTCTGTGGACCATGAGCAGGAGGACCCCTGCCTGGTGAACCTGCTATGAAGTGTCCTGAAATAGTATGCCAGTTAGGAGATTCCTGCTCCTGGGCTGCTCTCTCCTGACTCACAGGCCAGCTGCCAGTGTGCAGGGAGAGCTGCTGATCTCGCTCTGATGCTATCAGTGGCAGCATGGCTGGGGCTGCAGTGGGCAACCCTTCCTCTTACCTAACCTTCCCTGAAGACAGGTGAGGTGGCACATGTGTGTCCTCCTAGAATGTGTGGCTGTGCCCTCAAAACCTCACTCTGGCTTTCTCAAAAGGTTAGGATTTAGGCTACTTAGGCTCAGTCTATACCCTCACGTGCAGCAAACCCAGTGTTCACTGCTAAATACCAAATGTGTTCTGAGACGCTCCATATTTTTAGACTAAAACTAAGAAATGGTCTCAAAGAAGCTTTCGACATGAATTTATTTCTATCAAGGGCCTTACAAAGGCATAAAGTCTCATTCTGTGGCACATTTAACAAAATGTATAGATTGACAGAAAACTGGGATTGGACCTCTAGTCAGTCCCATAGGTCCAGCAGGCCCATGGAACCATCAGAGGCAGCCAGGCCCAGCCACTGGGGGTCCCCAGCGCAGCCTCAGTCCATCTGCACAGCATCCAGCTCGTCCAGGAACCGCTGGCACTTCCCCATTAGCACTTTGATGGCCTCGCTCACCAGCACATCTGGAGGCAATACTCCTGTGGACTCCACAGAAACTGGGGGCCAGAGGGACACTTCAGCCAGGCAGCACCAGAAAGCACCCATGCCCAGCACACCCACTCTACCCTACTCACAGATATAATGATCCCTAACACGGGCAAGCTGCACAGCCTTCTTCAGCTTCTCATGCCGGAAGATCTCCCTGCTGAAAGTGTCCAGCCTAGGATTAGCAACTTGGGCTACCTTCTTACCTAATGAAAACAGCACATCACATTTTGTCTGTTAGGAGCCTACAACTTTTGTAACTGCCACCTTAAAAACACACACACCTTAGGTCCCATGCTGATAGCATGGCTCATACCATACCTTGGACTTCCTGCACCTCAATAACACCAGGCGAGAAGCAGCAGCTAAGCTCCTCTGCTGCCTCACCTTCCACAGGCTCGAGCAGGGTGATGTCTGGAAGAAGCCTGTAGCTGGCTGTTGCCACTGGAGAAAACTTGGCATGATCTTTCCCTGGAAAGAGGAAGTAGCCCATGAGAAGCTTCATTCACCCTCTTGCAAACTGACAATACAAACCCACCTGCTTCCTGCCCATTATCAAGCTGAGCTCCTTGGCCATACCTGAGCCACTACAAATCAAAGCACAAGTCCATCCCTACTCTCCCTGCCCAGGCAGGCCTAGGGTTCTCACCGATGCCTTTGACACAGTGCATGAGCAGGTCAATCTCCTGGCCAGGCCGAAGCTGGGCAATGAGGATGTCATCATGCACAGGCCGGATCATGCCCTCAGGGAAAACATCGGCCTGGTTCCCCAGAGGAACCCACGTCATGTGCCTGGTATACACTGAAGGGAAAATGTGTCAGAAGACCCCATCCTGGAAGCCAGCTGCCACCAGAACATGAGCTGTCTTCCTAACTTCCTGCCACTCACCCTTGTGGTTCACATAGAGTTCATTGGGGTCGGAGGAATCTTTAGCAGCATGGGGGTTCCGGGTGCACCTGACCTGAAGCCGGAACTGCAGAGTATCTATCTCTGTGCCTTCTTCATCTCCTGTACACAAATGGGGAATGGCAGCTCTTGAAAAACTAGTAAACATTTGAAAGCCAGGCAGTATGCTCAAAGCTTTACATTTCTTAATCTTTTTGACAAATTTAGGAAGGGAAAGGCAAGCATTCTCACACATGAAAGCCAAATCAAAAGAACTTGCCCAAGGTCATCTAGTGGTCTGTCTAGGATCTGAACCCAGGCAGTCAGTCTAGAACAGAGCTGTTTCATTTCTCTCAAAATTTCATTTTCTCAGACCCTCACCTTCATTCCGAAATTCAAAAAGACGAGGATCAGCATGAATGGGAATGAGCCCCAGACGGTGAGCAAGGATCTCATCCTGGACAATGGATGTGTTGTTGTAGACCAGGACCTTTTCCACAGCCATTGTCGGCACCTGCCCAACAAAACAATGCCCCATGTGCCAAAGCCCACCAGACTTCCCACCTACCCCACCACCCACAATAAAGACCCCTTCCAAGAAGGATGCTTAATGAAAAGTGAAGAAAACCTTAGCAAAATTCCAAGGAAAGTAAGGGGAAGAGATAGCTTGAGACAATTCTAAAGCAAGGTGCTGACATAGTTCCCCACGCAACTCCACACCTGCTATACCTCCGCTAGAAGAATTCGCCGGAAAGCATTGGCAATGGCTGCATCAATTCCCACCATGTCAAACTCCAGTGAGTTTTCATCCATGTGCACCACATCCACACGGAAGTTCTAGAGAGGCAGGAAAAACAGTGACACGTGAAGCCTGCTACTTCTATCATCAAAAATCCTCTCATGGGGCTGGGGATTTGGCTCAGTGTTTCCGCTGCCTGCCTCACAAGTCCAAGAACAGGAACCCATATTCAATCCCCAGGATCAAAAAAAAAATTCCTCTCTACACCCTCCCTGGATATTTTTCTCAACATACTAACATCCTGTCTCATTCAAAAAATTCCCTCTACAGAGATGACCTTTATTAGATGTCCTTTCTTCTCTGGTGCTGTTTTGTTTTGGGGTTTTTGGTGTTTTTTTTTTTTTTTTTTTTTTTT